CCTGCATTCTGAGTGTGATCCCACGCACTTTGCACACACACACACACACACACACACACACACACACCAGCATCCCTGCATTCAGTGACCACAAAACACTTTCCGTTCACCTCATCTTACCACCATCCAGCTCTTCAGCACAGACAGAAATAAACATCCAACGTTTCTGGGATCGTCTCAGATATCCAATAATCCCACAAATATTTTTAACAGGCAACACAGAGATAATCTGATAATCTGCTAGAGCTTTTAAAGATGTCCACTGCCCAGCCATGTTCCCCTCTGCTTCACTTCACGCACAATGAAACCTAAGTAAATAAACGTTTATTTTAAAACAAGGCCTGAAGGGTCTTTGGCAATAAAACGTTGCAAAATAAAAAGGTCCCAAAGCAGGTGACTGAAACACCAAAACACTTGGTGGGATCTTCATTCTGTTCAACATTCTGATGTCAGTCTTGTGTAGAAGAGCTGCTGTTTGAATAAATCACCAGACACAGACAAAGCTTCATATCAGTAAAAATATATATAATTAAATTTATGGATTTGGCAATCCAAAAGTAACATTTATGGGGGAAAAATAGGAAAATAGGACCACTTACACATCCCTGTTCTGTCCTCCTCCGAGCATTCAGAAAAAACATGAAGGGTGAAAAGCGAGTAAAGTGAGCCCACCTCTGATGACCCTCTGAGCCCCCAAGCAAGGTAGTATCAAACCTGGGCCCAAGCCGGGCAGGACCAACTTGTGAAAAGGCAACCCGCGTTTCTGCGGTGATAATGAGCTGATGACATCAGTGAGTGACCACAGGATTAATCAACAAACAGGAAATATTAAAGAGATGATACAAAACAACTTTGTAGTTAGTTTAAAACATATTGAACCACATCGCTAAAGTAAGTGAATTCAGTTGTTTTGTTTGATACGAGACAGACGTCGTCACACAATAAATACGTCTCGTTCCACCCAAGTCAATCTGCTCTGTGCCTCTTTTGATTCTGAGCCACTGAGTTAATTTCTGAACGTGTACGTATGAGCGGGACCTGGCCGCCTTCTCCTGTGATTTTATGAACGACACGAGGGAGTATAAAGCCGGACTGGTCTGTGCAGCGATTTTGTTGAACTGTTTTGTGAAAGATGTCCTGATGTGATGCAGGTAGAAAAACCAAAAAGAAAAAAAAAACAAGTAGGTCCTCTGGATGGGTTCTTCTTTAGTGAAGCGTTTCATCTCTCCTCCAAGAGACTTCTTCTGAGGAGTTTCAGGTGAACTCAGGCTTATAAGCTCCGCCTCCACATGGTGGACAAACAGGTTAGTCACATGCAAAAGAGGGCCATCAGCCAAACAACAGGTCATTAGTGCCTTGATTGTCTCTATTGTTCATAGAGGGTCATGTGCCCCATCACCTGACTATCGTTGGGGCCCTGATTCACACCTTTTGCTCACAGACTTGCAATAGCAGCACTGTAGGAGGAGGACAACTGAAAACGGAGGCCTCCACCTCTGTTAAATGGTGGACGGTTTTTCATCACAAAGATGGCTTCTTTTACTCCTCTCTCAAACCAACGTTCCTCTCTATCAAGGATGAGAACATCTTCATCCCTGAAAGAGTGACCACTGGCCTGTAGATGAGTGTAAACTGCAGAGTCTTGGCCTGTAGATGAGTGTAAACTGCAGAGTCTTGGCCTGTAGATGAGTGTAAACTGCAGAGTCCTGGCCTGTAGATGAGTGTAAACTGCAGAGTCCTGGCCTGTAGATGAGTGTAAACTGCAAGATCTTGACCCGACGATGTAATTCGTCTGTGTTGGGACATTCTTTTGAACAGTGGCTGCTTTGTTTCCACGATGTATAACTGATCACAGTCCTCTTGACACTTAACAGCATATACTATATTACTCTGTTTGTTCCAGGGAACTGGACCTTTGGGGTGAACTAATCTTTGTCATAATGTGTTTTGGGGTTTGGGACGTCATGTTTAGAGAATAAACGTCTCAGTTTCTCTGAAACTCCCGCAACATACGGAATAACCACTGGTTTGGGTCTGGGTTCGGATGTGTAATAGATTTTATGCTGAAGTCCCCCGTGCACCGTGGAGCCCATCAGTTGACCGGTGTTCCAGGCGCTCAGGGTTAATCAGTGTTAGCGCCCGCTCATCCAGAGCAGACAGCTCCTTCACAGCCAGGCTGCAGGTGCTGCTCGATGGTGTCACTGTAAATCTTCTTCCTCCATTCCTACCAGAATGCCTCTGACTCATCTGACATTTAGTCCCTGTCTCAGCACTTTCATCCATCCATCTTTTTTTCTGCCTTTTCACTTTTCTAATATCTTCATCCACAGACATTCTGTGTCGCCTCCTTCAAACGTCTTTCCTCTGGGGGTAAAAATTGCACTTGGATACAGAACCGAGGAATCTGACAGAGGCAGGAAGAGACCCTCCTCTAACTGTATTTTTCCACTCTTTGTTGGTTCAGATCTTTATTTCCACAGGACTGAGCTGGGAACGTAATTAGGAAGGACTGGGGCAGGTTTACGTGAGGCTAACATCTCCCCTTGGGGTTCTTTGAAACAGGATTGACTTTGGAAGGCGGGTCTAATTCTGGCCATGAACATGGATGTGCGTTCACTTGGGGCTCGAACGGAGAGCCTTGCAAGATGTTGTTTCGATCTAGAAGGTCTCGGAGTTACGGCTGTTCCTTTTCCTTCCAGGCCAGCAGTGATTAGGTTGGAAGAAACAAACCTACAGAAGTGTGGCTTTATTTTCTCAACTTGCAGCCCACTGCGAAAGCCAACATTTAAATTGGTAATACTGTATGTGCGAGTGTGCAGCAGTCAGAAATGAAAGCACATACTTGAGTTGTTCCTACGTTATTTAGTGCATATTGGATTTTTAGAAGGCCTTCGAATAAACATGTGAAAATATCAGATGTTCCTCCTGATTACGCAACTATCTGCACTCTATGAGGTGAAAGGAAAAACAGACAATGGATGGATGGATGCACCTTAAAAAACAACATTTTTGTTAATTTGCTGTTGTAAAGTTAAACAAATTTTAAAATTGGGGTGTCCTGATACCAGTTTTTATAAATCTAAATATGGGTACTTCAGCTCTGGTACTCACTACAGAGTACTTTAAAATAATAGTGATTTAAAAAAAAATTTATTTGCTTAGAACAAGGTGTCTCTCCTCCCTCATGGGCCTACATCCCCTCTGACTGAATCAAATCAAACATACAGCAGGATATTAGTGTTTATTACTATTGCAACATTTTA